GAAACTGGGCTCAAGAGCTAATGCTGAATCCTAGCAGATTTAGATGATTGAGACGAGTGTAGGTACGCACTAAAAGTTTGTTCAGAAGGATATTGTCGGATCCAAGCCTGGCCTCTGGCCGGGCTCGGGAAGTAGAAGAACTCTCAGAACCCTGGTTGATACCTGGTTGATACCTGGTTGATGGGGTTCTGGGAGTTCTACTCCCCAAGCCTGGCCCGAGGCCAGGCTTGACTTGTGATAACTTGGTCCAACAAGTTGTTGCTTGCAGCGGCCCGCAGGCCCACATACCCACCACAGCCCGGTTGGTCCGGCACTCCTTGGAGGAACCTCTCTTTCTACCCTCTCCGGGTACGCTCCAGTTAAGCCCAAAACTAAAATGAAGGTGGCAAAATACCACAGCTCAGGTAAACGTGATGTGTGACAGACTACCAGCTGGACCCGCATCGTGAGGGGCCTGTGATGACCAAACCACACATCACAAGATGGAGAAGCGACGACTTTTCGGTCCGACCCGTACCTTTATCAAGTCGACACACACGACTCTACAATGGTCCAGGACGAACTGCAACGTCGTCGTTTCTCCATCTTCTGATGTGTGATTTGGTCTTGATGATTGTGAATCGTCGTCTGCTGGAGTGGGATCAAGCTACTTGTCAACACAGTCGTATCAAACAGTCTGCCCGTTAGACCACATTGAAATGTGTACGATAAATGATGATTCTGAATGATTAACACATTTTTATTTAAAGAATATATTAGTTTTATTATTATTATTATTATTATTATTATTATTATTATTATCATTACTTATATTTTCGGGACAGTGATTTGAAGGGAAAGTCTATCGTTGCCTCAGAGTCTGTTCATTAAGAAATGAGAAAGAAGAGATACAGGGATATTATCTAGGGACCTAAAGTGAAGATGGAGCAGACAAGAGACGATGAGCAGCGTTACGCTGCGTTGGTGGCAGGAGGCAACCTGTGTTCAGCAGCAACTGGGTCAAGACGCAAGTACTTACAATGCAGATGGAAAAGAACATCATAACGAATATTAGGTGAATATACAACAAATGGAAGACCCTGCACTGGGTCAGTATAGTTGCTAAGCAGCGCAAGAAGACGCCAAGTGCTGAGTAAAGCACCGTCTTGGGGACACAAGGGTGACGCAACCTGATGCTGCTGTAACCCGACTCTAAAACCTCAGCAAGAATATAATTAAGACGCCATAGTGACGTCACACGCACCTTGTGTACACCGTACATAAAATACTAAATTTTCTCTCTCTGTTTAGGCTAGGTTAGGTTAGGATAAGCCGGGTCGGGCCGTGTAAACTTTAAGTGAAATGTTTCTAAGGTCTTAGACCCTACTCGGTGTATGGAGGCGAGAGACTCTTGCTGCAGACGCTGAAGTCTTATGACATGTAGAGCCTCGCCCTCGGAGGGTGTAGAGCCTCGCCCTCGGAGGGTGTAGAGCCTCGCCCTCGGAGGGTGTAGAGCCTCGCCCTCGGAGGGTGTAGAGCCTCGCCCTCGGAGGGTGTAGAGCCTCGCCCTCGGAGGGTGTAGAGCCTCGCCCTCGGAGGGTGTGGAGCCTCGCCCTCGGAGGGTGTAGAGCCTCGCCCTCGGAGGGTGTAGAGCCTGGCCCTCGGAGGGTGTAGAGCCTCGCCCTCGGAGGGTGTAGAGCCTCGCCCTCGGAGGGTGTAGAGCCTCGCCCTCGGAGGGTGTAGAGCCTCGCCCTCGGAGGGTGAGGTGAGCTCACAGTCCTGAAGAGGTTATCTATTGGTGTGATAACCTGTCTGGTCTAGTTGTGGCTCAGTGGAGCGTCACAAGTGTGCTGTCGACACCCCCAATGATTAGACAATGTGACGGGCTAAACCCGTCCCCTTGGATTACTTTGTCATTTGTTATATAATTATTGCCTGTGTAATTGTTTTATATGATTTAGTTGTTGTTAAAGAAAACCATTACAGCCATAGTAAAGTTTTCTTCATTCAAGATCATTTGTAATGTAGGCTTGTGTGAGGACCTGGGCCGTGGAGACCGGTGCTGGCGCAGACCCGCGAGCAGTGTTGCCCTCTTCCTGCCTCCTACTATTGGGTAACCGGTTTGGTCTATGTAAGGAAAAATGAGGAAGGGGAAGCAGTAAGGATGCTGTGACAGAAGGGAAAGATTGCGCGCGTGACAGATTATATTCACATTGTAATACATAATATGAAGTGTGAGTGAAGGTTGGCCATGCTTTTTGGATGACCCAAGGATTATTAAGCGTGTCATGAGAGGGCGAGTATTTATAAAATCTGATTGCCAGATTATCTCTTAGGGAGTGATATTGTGCAGTAATTATCCGAGTGTGAACATTTGAGGTGCTTGAAACCATCGCACCGTCCAGGTCCTTCACACTAACATGTAGTCATGTCGGCATCTTTGAACACGGACAACTTTGTTGGCTGCGGATGTAAGTTTACCAGCGTATAAGGATGGCTGACTGATGGTTTGTTATGGGTATACCATTTTTCCTCCCTTTTATGGTTTTTTTTTTAAGAAATGTGGCATTAAAACTTTACCTAGAGGCAATCTAGATACCTCTCCCAATTACCTTGTGGCTTGTGTTCCCGTCAGACAGTAGCGGATAGCATACTTCACTACACCTGTCCTCACCACCACCACCAGCCACACGCAGCATCGACTGAGAAGCCAGCCACTGGTCAAACTTTGTCCATACGGCGGCTTAACTTGACGATAACCTATCTAAACTTGGGTCATTTTCTTGGAAACTTCGAACGCGGCAAACAAATCAAGCAGAATCAAAAACCCCGGCAGACATTTTCTCCCCCCCCCCCCCCAGATAAAATGACAAGGAGAGAGGGAGGAGGGGACCCGAAACCTCGACTCTGGTGGGGATTATGCTGCGACTGGTGGGCGCTTCTACAGCCTCCTGGGTGCGTGCTGCGTCTTTCTAGACGGGTTATGCTGTCCCAATTGTCATTGGGGGTTCGTCGTCTCGTGCTGAGGCCGACATTATGCTAATGTGTGGCTCTGTCGTCAGGCTTTCGGCGTTGGCAACTTTCATTCCGGAAGCTGTCACAGCTGCATCCCTATATTGCTCCTGGAGTCTGCTAGCTCTTGCTCCTATCACTATAACTGTAATACCCAGGAGTAAAATCCAGTTCTAATTTATTAGACCACATCTGGAGCATGTCTTGCTCCGTTTGCATTTCTGTGTCTCAGTACAAGTTGGCCCCATCATTCCACTCATCCACAATCCTATTTCCAAACCAATTCTGTCATATATCCGTCATATAAGACAGTTCTCCAGCTGGTACCGATTGCTGTCCTGACCTATTCCGCCACTCTCAGAACTCTGTTTATATCCCCCAATGTTTATGCCCATAACGCACTTGAAACAATCGATCATCTGCCTACTTTTCCGGGATCTTGATAGTAAATGGAGGACGAGACATTTCAATCTGTCCTCATAGGGAAGGTACTCGATACCAGGTATCGACCTAGTCATCCTTTTCTTTATTCAAGAGAGTCGACGTCCATTCTTTGGTACGATGACCTTAAGTGCATAATGTAGTCCAAGTGGGGCCTCAGAGCTAGATACAGATGAAGTATGATATGATAATATAGCGTCTTATTATAGCTCGGGTTGCTGCTAACCACCACTCCCAAGTTTCTCTCACAATTTAATCTCCTATTTGAGTTTCAACGTTAAACTGCATTTGCCATTTTTTCTGGCCAACACTGGGAGTTGTACCAGCCTGCAGTTCACCAGTCATCTCTTGATCCATTACACGCCATATCTATGAGTCGATCGCAACCTTGTTGGTATTACAGGTCAGTGCACACTATCAAGGTTGTTGTTAGAAGTGGGCCAAGTCAGAGCCCTGCAGTACACCAACGGTGTCGGCCATTCCCTCCGACGTCGCTCCAGTTATGCTCACACTCCGTTTTCTGTTCTTTAGCCACGCCATGATCCTCTTTGTTCTTTTTAGCACAGCTCTTCCAGGTGATACTAAATCCCACTTCTCTGCCACCATTATCATTATATCAAATAGGTTCGCTACCTATTTCCCGATTATTAATCATTCTCTCTGTTCACCACGAACAAATCAGCACATTTGGGCTCCTGGCGGACTTAATGAGAGAATATATCAACTGGGAAGCACTCTTCCATTATTCCCGGGAATTCTTCTACCTCCCATTTATGTCTTTAATGTTTAATATATTCTCCCAAACTTCAAGTCCCCCACGTTACAGAATCTTGAAGACTTTATACCTTCCAAGTATGGTTTATTGTCCAAGTTATTTAAAGCTGAGAATCTGAATATTACCAGTGTTAGTAGCATAGACCCTGTAACATAGAGACTAAAAGTCACGGAAAATGACGACTTGTTTGGTTCTCTTGTTGATGACACCAATCGAGACCAATGACGTCTTAATTCAGACGTCGATGAAGCCGTCATCAGATACAACTATGATGATCCATAATTTCCGTGTGTTACTAATGATATAAAAAAAGAAATATGCCTACAACTCTTGGACACAAAATGCAATTGAAGATTCAAACACCGTCGACAGGGCGATTTATAAACAAAACATACGCAAGATTAAATCTTATAGCGCACAATAAAGACTACAATACTATATACCGAAATAATGTTAATATAAAACTGGGAAAGCAGAAAGAAGCTTGACATGTATCAATCTCATGAAGGTGGAGGAACATGTTGCCTAATTCCCGTGGGTGGTTTGGGTTACAATTCAAGCCTCCGGCCGGGTACCGGAAATGGTTAAGTTCCTCGACGTCATCTTATCCTCCGGAACGCGATCCGACAGCATTTGACATCTTGGTCGCCAGTTACTGCTGGGTGTATAGGGACAACCGGAGGATTCGATCCCAAGTGCTACGGCTTATGAGGTGCGTGTTGTTGACGGGAGGTGTGGGGGGGGGATGGTATATAGGGGGAGTGGTGTTATTACTGGTGGTAGTGGTACTCACAGTGAGAGCAGAGGACGGGTGTGATGAAGAAGACGGTGACCAGCTGGTGCTGCACGGGCGACAGCTGGTGCTGCACAGGCGACAGCTGGTGCTGTACGGGCGTTAGTTGGTGCAGCACTGGTGGCAGCTGGTGCTGCACTGGTGGCAACTGATGCTGCACTGGTGGCAACTGGTGCTGCACGGGCGGCAGCTGGTGCTGCACGGGTGGCACCTGGTGCTGCACTGGCGGCAGCTGCATAGACGAGCTACGCCGTCCTCCTGTTGACAAACAAATACCACCGATATAATATTCTATACTCGACCATAACAATGATTTAAAAGCTATCAAATATAATAAGACTCTCCAGGAGTTAACATGACAACACATCCACTACAACCTGGTTCGGCCGCCACTTCTTTCAGGAAACTCTCTTCTTTAAGACTTCCACTTGTGTTGCGGCAATATTTGTTATGCTTGGTGGAAGGATATTGAACACCCGTGGACCTCTGATGTTCATAGTATTCTGTGCTTATGGCACATCTACTCCTCCTCACTGACTTGTTTTCTGCATTTCCTTCCATATCTGTCACTCCAGTATGTTGTTATTTACTATGCAAATTTGTGACTTGGCCTTGAATTATTTTGCATGAATATATTATGTGATGTCTCTCTCTCGTCTCCTTTCCATACAGTAAATTTTGATATCTCGGGGACGGTCCCAACAATTTAGGTGCTTTAAATCACACTCTAGAAACAAAACTTCAATGCAAGTGAACATTGAACTGTGTATCCGTATGCGTACACTTACACACACACAAGATGGGCACCACGAGCAGACACTTGTCCTACAAGAACATAAGAGTACGTATTCATAGAATTATTTATAATTTAGCTCTAATTAACCATACGAAAAGGAATATACCCAAAATGACCTAACCTTCTTTACACTGTACTAGAGATGCAGTATTGCTTAAGGACACTGTAAGCTTCTTGACAGTCACACGGCGACAAGTGGGGTCCCGACACCCTCTACCAGCCTTATTTGCTTGCACGACAGCAATAATGCTTGCGTGTCGTGCTTGTACAAGCACTAACTTACACGGTCAGTGAGTGAACCGAACTGGACCGTTAACACTTCTATGATATAAATTTTAAACGCTGCGTGATAGGAGTGATCGGGGGGGGGTTGAGATAATGGTGTCAACAATGTTAACTCTTCTCTGCCTGGGCCACCATGAAAGAGAGGTAGAGGACACCGCTGGCCACTCGGCCAAAAAGTGAAGGAGTAGGGGGAGGCGGGGGCTGGTACCATTCTCGGATTGACCCGGTCAGAATAGAACTAGTTAGGCAGTGTGTTCTAAACGACTGATGCCATGTGTGGAGGGCCACCGCTGACATACTGTTAGTCCGAGTCTCAGTCTCTACACAAACACCGGTTTGCAGCTCTGAACTGCCACTCAACAGCTCTCATTCTTGTCGCCACGCCGCAGCCAGGGCTGAACCGGTGCCGACCAGTGGCCCCCTGGTGAACACCACAGCAAGTCCCAGCTGTGTCTGGGTACAAGTGACAGGATGAACAACCCATCGGGTTTTCTTCCTATTGGGGAGTGTTGTACATGCTGCTATGGCGTTATGTCCACTCACAAGATAAGTGGCGCTGCCCAATAAACTCGCCCCTCGGGGCAAAATTTAAAAAATTTAACCACTGGACGACTCTTGGGTTAATCTCCACACATGTGTGTAGACTTCATCGCCGACACAGCGAGCTGTGCCGCTCCTCACCACCTCTCTCGCTACACTGTCTTCTACCTGCACCCAAGAAACAGACACCTCCTACACCATCGTGGCTAAGTGCAGTCACTCAAACCAACTCCAAATATAATTGTAAGTGTGCACTATTATTCCTGTCTCAGCATATTGCGGCATAACAGAGTGCTACGTGCAACTGTATCAAGAAGCATTTCGTTATACAGCCAGGTAACCATGCCTTCTATTGCCTATTACTTAAGTCGATGAATAATTATTAGGAGTGCATGCAACAGGATGTCTCGCATGTTTTTTCTCAGCACATGCCACGTGTCCCAGTGATACGTGTATGCTGTGCAGGTCAAGCCTCTAGGACACGTGCTGCCAGGTGATACAGCTTGAGTGTATCCCACCCACACAAGGTAGGTTAAGGACTACCCGACCTGCACCACATGTAGAAGGTCACAGTCCCTCACTCAGCCTGTACACAAGTCACAACTGCCATGTCCAGCCCATGCTGGATATCTGATTTATAGTTAAAAAAAAAAAAAGTCGACACTGCTCTGTACGAAGCCATGCGTCTGTCTAGGTGTTCTTGGCAACTGTTTATTGCAAATGTTTTTTGCAGGAAACCTAAACACACTACAGGGAATGTAATAAAAATGTGAGCGTGCTAAATGTGTTTAAACACACACACACTGCCGCCTCGCCTGATATAAACACCATTCCAATAATCAGCCTTCAAGCTGGCAGGAATTTCACCCCCCCCCCCTTACACACATATACACAGAGATCCGCAAAAAGATTAACCAGAAGCATGTCTAACATTTATACTGTGACTCCATCTGCTAACATGTGTCAACAGATGCAGTCGCATTCCATCACTAATTAACAAAAGGGAAGGGACAATAGTGTGTTTTGAAGATCGGAAGGAGATCCTACCTTCCATTTTTTCTTCTTGAATTAGGCCAAAAAAAGACTGTTTTCTTTATCACACAAAACAACATCAGCGTTACGTTTTCCGGTGCAAAGTGTGCTTGTTATCTTGAGTTATATTGAGTTATCTTGAGTCATCTTGCTTAGATGAAGAGGAAGTGAATGAGGCATAGTTGCAAAAATAAACAATAAAAAAAATCTTACAAATTTACAAGACCACTGAGGAAAATCCTTGAAGAAGGCCATTACGAGGACAAACATATAGAAGACAATAAACATATAGAAGACAATTAAGCAGCATAGAAAGAAAAAGCAGGAGCAGGTGAGGGTGGCGGCGGCTGCGACACGCCAACGCCCCCAGAGTGGCCAAGGTCGCGGGCTCACCCGTCAACACACTACTAACACACTTTCAAAACAAACCCTTCCCAACACCTTGCATCTGTCTCCATTAAAGTCAGCAAGGTGAGAGGGACTTGACTCCGAGTGTCAGCTTACAAACACGTCCACCAGCCCTGAGTCACATCAACAATAAACACTTGGATACCTCGGGTCGACAAGCAAGGCCTTGGCGTCCCGTCTCAAGCTTATGATATATAACACCCTCAACCAATGGAATTATACATTAAATTATACTTCCTTTTGTATTAATAGTAAATAGGAATACTCATGCTCACCGGGTTCAAAACTGAAATAGGGAGAATATGGGGAAATAGAAACTATAGCGGCAAAGATCCTTTATCACTAGACTCCACTCTTAAAGTCATCTTAATTATTGGGACCGACTAAAAGTTCTAAATCTGTATTCTCTAGAGCGCAGGCGAGAGAGAGACATAATAATCTACACGTGGAAGATATTAGAGAGACTGGTTCCAAATCTGAACACAGAAATATCATCACATGAGACCAGTAGGCATGGCAGGATGTGCAGAATTCTCCATTGCCTTGCATGGTATACAAGTTAAAGACACCGGCCTATAATTTAGGGCCCTCCTTGCCCTAATACTTGTGTGAAATATTTGGCGTGTTACCCCATCGAGTTTTTAGTGTTCTGTAATCAAATTTCTTAGAAAAAGGGGAGTGGGATTGAACGCCGACCATCCAAGTGGTTGGACACCATTCCTCTCCCTTTCCCATCCCAAATCCTTATCCCTTCCAAGTGCTATATAGTCGTAATGGCTTGCCACTTTCTCCTGATAGTAGAACTTACATTCCACCCCCACCCCCCCGGCATCCATCCATCCGTCCCCTACAGTGCCTTCACACACTCACCCCCACCCCATACTTTTCCTACATCACCCCCTGTCTGCCTTATCGCCACGCCGTCCGTACCAAGCTGTTTGGCGGGTAAACACGTTCCAGGAATGAGACGGGAAGCAAGAGTCTGCGCCAGCCAGGCCTTACCCTACTACACCGTAACCACACCACCAGCTACATCCCGTGTCGACACACACACACACATCAGGGATACACGCGGCAATAACATCAATGATAACGACGAGTGTCACAATGAGAACGTCAAGTATTCTGTCACAATGAGAACGAGAAGCAGGCTGTCATGTTGTGGCCATTAATTAAATACACAAACGACATCATTTCCAGGAACGCTGCAACGGCGCTTATTTAGCGATGGGCTTTAAGAACACTTACTACTACTACTACTACTATTTCTGTGACACTTCAAGTGTCCCCCTAATATGTACACCAGAGTTACAACAGACGTCCATTCATTCATTCCCCGTTCAACAGATATCCATTCATCCACCCCCCGTTACAACAGTCATCCATTCATCCACCTCTCCGCCACACACACACACACACACACACACACACACACACATACACACACAGCATCGGACTAATTACTAAACAGCAAGCACCAACGTCACCACGTTCAAGCCGATTTATCTCTGGTCACAATAACAGCCGCCAGTTGCTGCGCTCTGGGGACCGCCACATTCACCCGACAATTCAAACACTTAATTTCCCATGTGGTAAACACACACGTACATACATCAGCGGCAACAGTGTCGAGCTACACTCGCCGTCAAATTCTCAGTTTCCTGAGACTTCAGAGGGGGGTAATGTTCATTTTTTTCAACTTTCTTTGCATTACCAGGCAAAGTCCCGAAAGTTATCCTTCCCCAAACACACACACACACACACACACACTCACACGTTTATCAATGGTCAATATTATCATAACTGGTCCGGTAAATACGATTTTTTAATCAGCAGCAGACACAGCAAGAGCCAGCAACAGAGACACGTTTTCTCTCACCTAATGCCTCTGCTCCCCCCCCCTAGTAGGGGGGGAGCAAGGTATATGGATACCGAACTCCTGGTATATGGGTACCAGGAGTTCGGCAAGTGTGGTGAGGCTGCATCCTTGGGAAGGTCAGTAGTTCGACCTTGTGAGAGTGTACCTAGACACCAGACGACGTAGCCTCGTCCCCAGTGACCCCCCAACACCCACCACCTTCCCCCCACCCGTCTCCACTATCAGTGACCCAGGCCGTCCCCCGGGACAATGGGCTCCTCTCGCTACCTTCGATGACATGATTATAATACAATGGGTGTATTTTTAGCCCACAAAGGC